TGCCAGAGTTGAAACCACAGCAGCCAGAAGCACAGTCGGCGTCGCTACCACAAGGGCCAGTGATGAATTGAGTACCGGGGGGCTTGCCAGATCCTGAGCTGGAACCAGCGGCAGCACCAGAAGCACCGTTGTTAGCAGCAGTGGAAGCAGGGGCTGCTGCACTAGAGGCAGCTGCACCAGAGCCAGCGTTGACACCGGGTGCAGCCTCGGCATTGGGACCTTGGATAGCTTGAGCAGCATTGTTGTTGGGCTGGGCATCGCCGAAACCACATCCACCGTCACGCTCCTGTGCGATAACAGCACCAGCACACTTGCCACTGTTGAAACCACAGCAGCCAGAAGCACAGTCGGCGTCACTTGTGCAGGCACCAGTTATAAATTGGGTGCCAGGAGCGGGTGATGTACCAGAGCTTGAACTGGAGCTAGAATCAGATCCAGCGGCGGCACCATTTCCGGCGTTGTTAGTTCCCGAACCGGTGGCAGCACCAGAACCAACACCTGGAGCGGCTTCGGCATTGGGACCTTGGATAGCTTGAGCAGCATTGTTGTTGGGCTGAGCATCACCGAAGCCACATCCACCGTCACGCTCTTGAGCAATGACAGGGCCGGCACACTTGCCACTGTTGAAACCACAGCAGCCAGAAGCGCAATCAGCGTCGGATTGGCAAGGTCCAGTGATGAACTGGGTACCAGGTGCGGCACGAGGGACGTAAGTACTCGTAACGGCTAAGAGATGAAAGGAACAAATGAGAATCGGACCAAAACTAAGGAGAACTCAAGCATACCGTTAAGGAAAAGGAAAGCAAGAACGAGGGAAAGCTTCTTGAACATGTTGATAATTGGCAGTTAAGAGAATGTGTGGACTTTAGAGCTCGAATTCGTAAGAGGAAGATTGCACGGCAATGAATGAAAGACGAGGAAAGAAAGTGCAGTCACACAACCTGGTGTGTATGGTTTGAAGGATGTTAGATAGAAAGAGAGCGCGGGATCGACGCGGGGAGAAGATGGCCTAAATCCTCCCATCCCATGGCCTTTATATACTCCACCGGGTCTTTGAACAAACCAAGTAAGTCTCGACGTTGACAATGAACCAATGTGAACACATGACGTTACCGGAGTTCAATTTGTCTAACTATAGAATTAGGATTCCTCGTCGAAATCGATCAATTGGGCTGTGCATCTGGTGGATATTTTCTATCAGCGACTGGGTACAATGGCCGAAGCTGTTTTGCGACCCTCATTGCCCCGACACAGCAAGGCGGAAGGCAACAGCATATTGTCCGTCTTACCCGAACCTTGAGAGGTAAACTCGCTACCTTTGGCAAACTTTTTCTTGGACCATGTGCTTTTGAAAATCGTTTCCAAGGCACTTTTGACCGCCTTTAACCAGGGTCTCCGAAACTACCGTAATAAATGCTTGTGCATTAACATATGAAGGCCCGAGCTCAGGTTCGAGCGCAGTGTTCTGTCGTGAAGATACGGGATCAGTATCTGCATACATTTGTGGAGCACATATAGACGTACCAGGCATTATCAATTCAAGTCTTAAGCCTTTTACAGGCCGTGGGCAGTGTGGAGGAGCCATATGCAGATGAAGGTTGTACGTATACGCAGTTCGTTGTTCCGAACCGAGGATTGACGGAGATTGAAAAAAGCGGGTTATACCGAACAGCTCCACCGCTGATGATTTCTGCAGGATCTTATGCCTGTCTTTGTACATCTGAGAACGGGCTCGACCTTGCCGGCATAGCTAAATAATACATACTACCCCTGGCCCCAGATTCCCTGCTGATCTCGCATCCTGAATTTGTGGATCGCAACCTTAAGAACATCACTTGATGTTGCCTGAATTGATTGATAGTCATCCCAGTGGTATATACACTAAACTTTGACCTTGCCTGATCAACAACCCATCTAATGATGTTCAGCATCGGAAGCGCGTTGGTAGGAGAACAGTCCGCCAAGCCAAACAATGCCTGCGCGCTTCCACGAAGTTTTCTGCTCGCTTCATTTCGTTATACCCAAGTAATGATGTCGATGTTCTAGTGATAGGGGAGGTACGTACTAGGGAACACAGGAGCTCGAGTACGCTGAAATTCACACACCATTCATGCTGTCTTCGAATCAGATCGAACGCAATTGATCCCAGTTCCTATTTACGGTCTCAAAGACGGATACAAGAAAACCTAGTTGTCCCTCAAGCTACGCATTTAACTTTGTCTTCGGAGCGCGAAATGGTACTAGTGATCCTATGCATAGCAAAGACGGGTAGCAAAATGATGTTGGCATAGCGTCAACTCCAGTTATGTTCATTCAGAATTGCAATTCTCGCACTGATTTCCCATTGAGTTTTACCTTCATCCCCGTTTGACTCAAAGACACAAGCTTCTCCATTGCAGTTTCGCCCAGTTCCAACGCGATCAGTTGATCGTTGGAGTTCAGAGCCGCTTCAAGTGGTTTCCGTCCGGGATCAAAATGCAAATTGAACTCTTCAAGTAGTGCAACGTTTTCTTGTTCCAATTCTGGACAGCAATCAAAAGCTGTTAAGAAAGAATCTTGGACAGTTTCTACTTACCTGCATTAAACAAAGACCTGGACTTGAGCAAATTGAGGAGGGCAGCAACGTCTATCCCAAAACCGCCCTTGATATGGAAGGTCAGTTTTTTCAACTTTCTCAAAAGAGGTATATCTACGCCGGCAAGCGTTATTGAGGCATAAGAAGTGTAAGGTGAAGATAGCAATTGTTGGTCATTTGGTTCGTCTGCAACAGAGTTCACGGGAGCTGTCAGAGCAAAAAGTAATTGATGGCTGAGCATGATCATGGTCTCCCCGTGAATGTGTCCAGCTAAATCAAGCTCGGCGAGATGGGGAAAACGGCAAAATATGTGAAGGACGTCCTCATCTGGCAGGCAGAGATGATGGAGAACTACCTTCTGCATTGAGCGAAAGGATGATGAGCGAACGGCCATGTCATAGAACTCTTCATTTGGCCATCTGATATAAGAATCAGTAAGCCTGGGTACATCCCTCCTTATGTCAAGAGCGGTAAGGGACGGCACCGATAAATGAGCAAAAAAGACCTGGAGAATAGATCTCTGTTCACTGAAAGGACTACTAGACAAGAGAGTGAGCTTGAAAGTCTTCAGATCAAGTAAGTCGACGATGCCTTGTGGATGCGAGGCTTCTGGATCCATGCTATAAATGCCCAAAGAACATGTAGTCAAATTTTGTGCAAGCTTGAGGACATTAAAGACGTCAACTATATTCGTGCCGTAAGGCATATCCAAATCATGTAGCTGATGATATGGAAAGGTGTCCAGTTGATTGTCATCGGCCAAAGCAAGGGCTCTAAGGCAGGGAGCTTGCTGACTGAGGACAACAGCAAAACTCTGGTATGCATGCCAAGTGCGGTGGTTGAAAAAGCCATCAAGTTGTAACGACTGAAGCAGAGGAAAACTTGGACAATTTTCACACATCTCCCTGAATAACGACCCAACATAGTTTGGTCTTTCATAATCAGAGGAACCTGTCAAAATCCACTCTAGGTCAAGGGAGACATTTTCCCAGTGAGGTGTCTTTTCAAAAAACACTTTGAGCAGACTGATGCTCAAATCGCGGTAGTCGCCGGTTCTAGAGGTGTATTTCTGCGAGTCATAAATGTAGAACGACAATGGGGAATCCCTAGACCGCTCAAGGTGCAAAACGATGAGCGAAAGCAGCATTTTGTCGAGTTTCGCAATATCAATTAGAAAGGTAGACCAAAGAGCGGAGTGTGCCAATGCGATATTTCTCCAGTAAGAACTGACGTGAGACAGACTCGCTCGGACACCATGCGGACCATAACGTTGATATTGTCCAGGTACGACAGGCATCAACGATACGGAATCTGAAGCGAATCTACCGGGAGGCATTGCGCAACACTCGGAGAAGATCTGGGCTAGTACCTCTCCTGGCAGCTGATGAATGGGAGAAAGGACAGAGTGGCAGACATCGAGGTCGCGGGCGAGCGAAAGACGCGATTTGGTGAGCGTATCCACGAGCCCACGAAGACGCTCGATTTCCCGGTCGTAATTCTCGAGTTCCGACAAGGCGACATCTCTGACAGACTTTGTTTTCGAAATTTGGTCTTCGGTGAGGGCGTGGTTGGAACGAACTTGGTCCATAGTGAAGGGGAAATCGATATTGGAGTAGCTATGGAATTGGCCGTTACACATCGTGCACATGATATTATTGGACGGATTTTTCAGAGACATGGTCGAAAACTCGACTATATCAACATCGTCGATGAATGCATTGGGTGAGTTTATAGGAAAGACGACACACTATTAGCTTCAATCTTGTGGAACTCACCAAATATCTCCTTCTATATCAGGTGAGCGCTCTCAAAAAGACGGGCGTCAGTGACAAAAGGACTCGAGTCACGTGAGTCCTGACTTGGAACGCCTCACGATGTCAAGCTCCATCTTCATGGCCCTAGCTTTGCGATAAACTTACGGTGAGACGGTCGGAGTTTATCTCAGAAATTCTACAGTGTTACGCGTGCTGTAACTCGTTCGTTGGTATAGCGTATGTCTGAGGGCGGTTCAAGTGTTTGATTAATCGCTCTCGAGTCATTGGTCTAAGTCCAAGTTCTCTATTAGATCAACAACAGACAAATGGTCATTGGTATCCATCACGCATGTGGTGCAGGTAGGGACGAGTATCTGCGCGCTTTTGATAGCGCTGATTTCTCATCTCGTTGCTTCCCGAATCCTTGGTGTCATCAGCCGACTTGCCCATCCACCCACGAATTACTGATCGATTCTGAGATGGGATAAACGACGCCTAAGGTATGTATCTCGAGGACCGAGGCTGCTACCATCGTTCTGGCCACCATCTCTTGTTCAAGGGTCCTTCGTTGAGATCACTTCGCCAATCTCTGCGCCAAAAGCTCTCTCCCAAGTTGGCCCCAAGCTCATTAATTCGAGCATCTAGCTCCCGTTTGATGTCTTCACTTTGTAGATCCCTTAGCTCAGCGGTAGAGCGTCTGATTCCAGTGTGGAATTGAATCCAGAAGGTCATCCGTTCAATCCGGGTAGGGGTCATAGAAACGGTAACTTCCAATCCCTAGTTTTGAATCAGACAATACCTAATTTCAAAAGTGGGAAGTATTAACTGACGGATTCGATACATGTGATGTACTTTTTTTATTTTGAAAGTACATAGTAAACTACGACTTGCGACGCTGAATCTTTATACCTCCAAACTCGTCTCAAGCTTCTCTCTCACTTGCTCTTCCAAACTTGCACCTACTTCTACCTCGGAATCTCCGTCCTTTCCCGCCTTCTTTTGCACCTCCTTCACTTCCCTCTCCTTCTCCCTAGCCAACCTTCCTTTACCTCTCAACACCTCGACTTCTGCCCACATCTCTCTAGCTTCGTTCATAACATCCTTATCCGAATAAACTTTTATAAATCTCTCTACTTTTTTCTTGAACCGCTCTACATTCGCGCTGTTCCCTTCCCCATCTGACAAAACCCCTCTAACGCCGTCCCAAAATCTCTCCCAAACATGTAGATTATGCATCTTGAGTAACGCATGAGCAGACATCTCGTGCGTGTGTAAGAGGTGATGGATGTATGCACGGGTATAAGGAGGTCGATGTCGATGTGATCTTTCCGGATTCGAGTTTTGAGAGGGAGGAGAGTCGACCACGGAATGAAGAATCACCTCCTCGGGATTTGGTGGAAGGGGCGAACATGTTGGACAGAGACACACTACATCTCCGTCCACTTTCGGGTCGTCCTCAAAGGTTCCGACGACACCTCTCCATCCCCATCCCGAACCGGAAGGCGAAGAACCGACACTAGAAAAGTCCATCCGGTATTTTATATCATACAGATTCCATCCTAGCGGTAGAACTAGTTCCTCTTTTCCCTCTGTTGGAGCAGGAGCAGGAAACCTGAAACCCAGCGCAACGCCCACGCTTGCAGCTTCTTCCGCATATCTCGAGTCAAAGAGGTCGATACCGCAATGTAAGGTAAGGAGGAGGGCAGTTTGCGGTGTTACTGGGCCTAGGTGTGCGTTCGTGCTCGTGTTCCCAGTCAAATTTGAGGAAGAACCACCAAACACGAGTCGAGGTTTATTCATCGGAAGTGGGCCCAGCGAAGATTGAATGAGTGAGATAAAACTGTCCGGAGCAGGCGTGGCCTTTGCCTCCAACGCCATAGGAACGAGTTCCAACACGTACCCGCTCACGCCTTCATCCAACGTCTTGAGCGGACTAACCTGCTCCGCTTCAGGACCATAAAGCGTTTCCACGAGTCCATTTGCAAACGCCGAACGAGCAGGAAGAGACGCGCCTCCTACGAGAGAGACAAACGTCGTCGACGACTGGTCGTTCAACAACGTCCCCAACCATGCCAGAGTCCTCTCTACACTCTTTATTCCTCTCTTCTGTGACATTCCCGCAGCTAATTTCGCGTTGGGTCCACTGGCATTCGTACTCGGATACGCGTTGTCCCCTAACGCGAACACGATATCCGGTTTACACAGTTCAGCATAAGACTTGTAATCTTTTGGAGAGACGCGTCGGACACCGCGTACAGTGTTGGCAGTTACGTATCCGTTTGTATTTGGAGGCATTTCGCGTGCGGACGAAATATCGCGAAGTGACATGGATAAGAGGTGTTTTGAGGGTGAGAACCGTAGAAAGTCGCGTAATGGAGGAAGGAGAGTCGGAACTGGAGGCGAGTGTTCGAGGAAAGACTCGAATGGGACGTGGATCCATTGGATCGATGGTGTTCGCAGGACGTTGTCTAAGGATAGATGAGGAATGACGCCTCGAGAAGTGGTGGTGATTATCCCCGGAGTTTGGATTTGGATTGAGCCATGGGTGACTGTTCCGATACGCGGTGAGAATTGAGAGTCAGTCGGGGACACGGTGAATGAAAGAGTCATCGATGGCCGCGTTTTTTCTTCCCGACTTATTGGGTCATGTGATGCAATCATTAGAACGTGTCAGTAAGCAGTCAGAATCTCTCACTCCGAAGAGCACTGGTTCATCGTTCTAAGGGTAGCATGACTCGGCCCCAGTACCCTAGTTGACTCTCATCATTTGGCATACCGTTTTGATCATCATCTAGAATCCCCCATCTCATCTGCAAACCCCACAAGGTCGAATCATCATCAGACCGTCACAGTGCACCTGAATTCGCATCGAGTCCACCTGATGTCGTGATACCTCGAGTGGAAGGGAGTACTTGATCCAGTTCGTTGATATTCACTGCAAGAATGATCAGGATGCACGTTAGTTCGGATCCAATTCTTCGTGATTCATCACTTAGGTCTAATGGTAAACTCCTTTATTCCTTATGCGGGTTTTTACTCCCTGTTATTTTACACAAATCATCATATGAACTGATGAGAAGTAGCGCGTTGCTGTACGTATTTGCAGCAGAACCCAGAACCGAATCGTGCCGGCTCTTTCTTAACCTTTAGCTCCTACCAAGCACGATATTGCTGGTACCAGACAGTTAAAGATGTCTGCTTTTTTACCTCAAACGTTGATGATATGCGCGTGGACACTGTCTTCGGTATTTAGACGTGGGGCAGCAGCGACAATTACCGTCTGTTTTCGTCAACTTTTTATCTGAATCCAGAACTGTGACCGGCTATTTGAATTTTTTAGATTACGGCGGGCTTGACAGGTAGTTTTTATGATCCCCCAACAGTCGAAGCAGCAGTAAATGACATTGTCCAGTTCGTGTTTGTTGGCAGGTTCGTATATGGTTATAAACAAGTACCCTTTTACGATCATTGACGAAGTGCATCTAGTCTGCACGGAGCGGTCCAAACTACTTTTGATAATCCTTGCGCCCCTCTGGAAGGTGGTTTCAGTAGTGGCCTCGCGGGAAGGGGGGGAAATCCCTCTTCCGATACGCCTGCACCTGTTTGGAATTTGACAGTAACGGATGCGTCCCAGCGTAAGTTGGACTTGGGTTGGAATCAATCGTTGCGTTCTTAATGGGGTTTTTCAGCGATCTGGTTCTATTGCCCAGCTATGCAACCTTCTCCTCACTGCTTACAAGGTAAGTAAGATTATCTCGATTGGGTATATATCTAGTCTGCTTGGTCATGCAGGAGCATTGATTTTTGGTACATTGCGCCTGCAGGCATGGTAGGGTAAGTGCAGATTCCATGAGTAGATGTCAAGGAATGATGGATTCTGAAGAGCAATAAATCCACCATCTCAAGATGTCTTCAACCAGTTTAAAGCAGCATCCGAGTCGCAGGCAACCTTCAATTCTCAGGTCAGATTCAGTGCCTAGTAGTAAAGGATGCATGAAATGTTAATATACTTTGATGTATCAGCCTCAAGCTGCCTCAGTAGTCCTCAACGGCCAAGGGGCTTTTGCAACTGTTGCCCCTTCTGCCGCTGCTATTGTAAATTCTGCCACAGGCTCTCCATTCACAGGCTCTCCATCTCCACTCACTGCAGAAACGCAACCAGCCGATACCAGTAGCAACAGTGTTTTCACACCTACGCAGACGGCCACCCTCAATACGGCATCTAACCATATTGGTGCCGTAGTTGGAAAGGCAGCGGCAGCAGTAGGAGTTGTAGGGGCCTTTGGATCGTCGCTTGTTTTCTACTATCTGCGCCGTCGACAGAGACCAACATTTGATGTAGTATCTCCAAGTCTCAATCAATCACAGGCTGGAATGAGGGAGAGATGACATGGGTCTGGATAGTAGATTACGCTGTAGGGCGGCACTATCGTGTTCATGTTATCGATCGACGTGACACGCAGTAGTATTACACTCAGTAAAAATACAGACTTCATGGAGTAGTTCATATTATGTATCGAACAAATCAAGATTGTTATACTACCGCGGGTCCAGAAAACATGCTCGAGATCAAGCCTACACTCAGCTGCAATCCATCCTTTTCGAGCATACGAAGGCCCGGCTCGAAATCGTCGGAGAATTTGTGGGCCAAATCATAGACCGATGGCATTGTGTAAGGGGGTATTTCTAGATAGAATTGGAAGGATGCTAACTTTGTCATGGGCTCAAACTCAGCAGGTGAACACCACCTCGAGCGTACCATGGAGAGTATGAGATCGAGGTTTGGTGGAACGAGAGTAGGTAGTAATTCAAGGCTCCATCCTTTATTTCTTAGGCGGAACCTGAGATCGAGCGATGTTAGCCACGGAAGTAAAGGTGGTCGTTTGGGGAGAGAATTTGTGTTCCGCATTTCAAGGGGATGAAGTGCAAGGGAATGTATGAGGTTATCCAAGGGACTTTCAAAGTCTAGTGCATAGATTGTAAGGTGGTTTATTGTTGGTGTGAGGGCAAAAACTTCTGAAAAGAAGTTTGAATTCTCTGCAGGTACCTCCGTACTCATTCCGAGAATGAGTGTTCGGAGCTGACAAGACGAGCGATCAAGGAAACTGCGTAAATTGGGTATGATTTCAGAGAATGACGTTGGACGTCGAGGTGAACTTGAAATTAGTCGAAGGGAGAGTTCAACAAGAGCCGGCAAACAGAGATGCGAGAAGATGTGGGTTGCCTCGAGTTGATGGACTCCCAAATCCAATGATGTAAGCCCATAATGTGTCACTATGCTAGGCTCAGGAACAGAGCTTATAAAACGATCCTCAGTGGTGATCAATGCTTGTAGCAACCCAGTACAAGTAGTGAGACAGTCGATGATGTGTTGAGTGTTCTGGGCTTTATTGCACTGAATGCAACGCAGCTGAGAAAAGGGTAGGGGGAAGTCGTTGTCGAAATCATTAATGCATGAAGTAATCAGCTTCGGAGCCCTTTTAAACACATCCGGAAAGTCAGAATCGACCAGGAGTTCGGAGATGTCGAGATACTCCAGGTTGTCAAAGCCAGCAGAGCTAGGACAGTCCTGAGGGGAAAAGAAACCCTTCAATGTCACTCGCGACCATCGAGAGCGAAAATCCCATAGCATCCGCAAAATTAGAGGTTGTTCCCCATACCAACGATTATAGTAAGAGAAAGTTATAGGAAAAGGGTGAGATCTCGAGAGGTAATGCCGACACAAAGCCACAAGTGACTCGGGTGCCCTCACATG